CAGGGTTTAGGGTTTAGGGTTTGGGGATGCTGAACATACGCCTGCTCTCTGGACAGCTGGTGGCCAAGATGCCAGTGGAGGAGGTGAGCAGACCCTGAACACCTAAACCCGAAAACCCTAAACCCTAAACCCTAAACCCCATACCCTAAACCCTAAACCCTAAACCCTAAACCCTAAACCCTAAACCCTAAACCCCAGGTGAGCAGCGTGAGGGAAGTGAAGCAGCGGTTGCACCAGCTGCACGACATGCCCCCGCGCTTCAGGCAGTTAAGGGGTACAGGGGGTGTAGGGTTTAGGGTTTAGGGTTTAGGGTTTAGGGTTTAGGGTTTAGGGTTTAGGGTTTAGGGTTTAGGGTTTAGGGTTTAGGGTTTAGGGGCAGGTTTATACAGGTCTATAAGATTTTGTAAGAGTTTTTCCGGGTTCACAGGGTTTGTAGGGTTCATACTTCGTAACGGAGTTATAAGGAGGGCCCGTAGAAGGGACCTTCAAGCTTGTTGCCCTAAACATGTCGATCCGAGTCCCTAGTATACCTAAAGGAGCCCCTGAAAACCCCTGAGAAAACTCCTAAGGGCCCCTTCTGAGGGTTTAGGGTTTAGGGTTTAGGGTCGAGGGTTTAGGTTTTAGGGTTTAGCCCCTTGAGGCAGAGGCTCATCCGTCAGGGTGCTGATTTGGACGATGCCGACGAGCGACTAGGAAGCACCGTGGCGCCCTGTTTCCCTTGTAGGTTTTCGCCCACAACGAGATTCAGAAAAAAGAGCTAAACTCTAAACCCTAAACCCTGAACCCTGAACCCTAAACTTTCTGGGGTCCTTGAACCCTGAACCCTAAACCTTCCTGGTGTCCTTGAACCCTGAACCCTAAACTTTCGTCCTTAGTCCGCTTAGGTTCGACTCGGCCCTTGGACTGGACCTGCACCTCATTCTGCAACCTTTTGCCAGCGCTTGGCGGGCGGACGAGCTCGTGGCCGCAGTCCAAAGAAACTCAGCGGGTCAGGCCGGTGTAGGGTTGAGGGCTGAGGGTTTAGGGTGTAGGGTTTAGGGTTTAGGATTTCGGGTTTAGGGTTTATAGGGCTTAGGGTGTAGGGTTTAGGATGTTTTTAGGCTTTTCGGGGGGCGGCGGTGGGGTTGGGGGGGGGGGGGGGGGAAGGGGGCAGGGGTGACATGGTAGCTAGGACCCACACTGAAAGCCCGAGCCAAAAACACCACGAGCTCACCCGAAACCCTAAACCCTAAACCCTGTAAACCCTAAACCCTGTAAACCCTAAACCCTAAACCGTAAACCCTAAACCCCTTCTTGAATCCCAGGTGGAGTCCATTCTGCAGCTGCCCTTGGACCCAAGGCACCCTGCAGTGGACCGAGCAGTGCCTTGGGGACGACATGAGCCCTAAAGGGTTTTGGGTTTTGGGTTTAGGGGTTTAGGGTGTAGGGTTTAGGGCTTGGGGTTTTGGGTTTCGGGGTTTGGGGTGTAAGTTTAGGGGTTTAGGGTGTAGGGTTTAGGGTTTAGGGGTTCAGGGTGTAGGGTTTAGAGTTCATATTGCCTTAGTAGGAATTAGAGCAGTCTAGGGCATATGACCCCCCCACAACAGGGTTCATTTGGACATGAAGGTGATCCTGGCATCTCAAGGCGGCCACGTTGACGTCATGCGCTTCTTGGAGGACGTTAGGGTTGAGTCTGAGGGTTGAGGGTTTAAGAATGGGCTGACTGCACACTTTGAGGGAGGATATTTTGTAGATGGAGAGGATCCCAGTGGTATAGCGTCCGTTTACCCTAAACCCTAAACCCGAAACCCTAAACCCTGAACCCTAAACCCCAAGCCCTAAGCCCTAAACCCTAAAGCCTAAACCCTAAAGCCTAAGCCCTAAACCCTAAACCCTAAACCCTAAACCCTACTAAACCCCAAACCCTAAACCCTAAACCCTAAGCCCAAGGTTTGCTGCTCGAGGCTGGTGCCGATGCCAATTTCAGGGAGAACGGCGGAACCAGCGCCTTGATGATCCTTGGGGATCAAATGAAATGTAACATTGGGGTTTAGGGTTTAGGGTTTAGGGTTTAGGGTTTAGGGTTTGGGGTTTGGGGTTTGGGGTTTAGGGTTTAGGGTTTGGGGTTTGGGGTTTAGGGGCTAGGGTTTAGGGCTTAGGGGACATAGAACTTGCACTAGTATACTTCCCACTTAAGGCAGTATGAGCCATAAACCTTTTTAGGGTTCATTTTTGGCCCCCAAGGATGGCAGCTTCCCGTGGCCACGTCGCAGTCGTGCAATCGCTCCTCGGGTTCAGGGTTTAGGGTTTAGGGTTTAGGGTTCAGGGTTTAGGGTTTAGGGTTTAGGGGTTTGGGGGTTTCAGGGGTTTAGAGGTTTGGGGGTTGTGGGGTTTAGGGGTTTAGGGTTTAGGGCGGTTTAGGGTTTAGGGTCCAGGGGTTTCAGCTTGTGGTTCATATTGCCTGAGTAGGAGTTATCACGGAAGTATAGGGTAGATGACTTCTATGACCCTAAACCCGAAGCACTAAGCCCTAAACCCTAAGCCCTAAACCCCAAACCCTAAACCCTAAACCCCCCCTTTTTTGGGGGCTCATGTTCGGTCTCAAGGCTGTGGGAGGCCCGTGCCGACGCCAACGTCAAAGACGACCATGGCCGATCGGCCTTGATGATGGCAGCTTCTTCTGGGAAACTCGGTTTAGGGTTTAGGGTTTAGGGTTTTTAGGGTTTTTAGGGTTTTTGGGGTTTTTAGGGTTTTTAGGGTTGTTTAGGGTTTTTGGGGTTTTTAGGGTTTTTAGGGCTTTTAGGGTTTTTAGTGTTTTTAGGGTTTTTAGGTCTTTTTGGGTTTTTAGGGTGTTTAGGGCTTTTGGGGTTTTTAGGGTTTTTAGGTTTTTTAGGGTCTTTAGGGTTTTTAGGGTTTTTAGGGCTTTTAGGGTTTTGAGGGTTTTGAGGGTTTTTAGGGTTTTTATGGTTTTTAGGGTTTTTAGGGTTTTTAGGGTTTTTAGGGTTTTTAGGGTTTTTAGGGTTTTTAGGGTTTTTAGGGTTTAGGGTTTAGGCTGACTAGGTAGGCCCTTGAGATATTTTATATTTTCCCTTGCTGGGTTTAGGAGGATCCTAATCTCAGGAAGATATTTTGCAGAACCCTAAACCCTAAACCCTAAACCCTAAACCCTAAACCCTAAACCCTTTTTGGGGGGCCATCCCAGGAAAGCTCAAGTCGTGCGAGCGCTGCTCGAGGCCAGTGACCTAGATGAGGTCGGCGACGACGGCCGCACGGCTCTGATGCAAGCAGCCTCTCGTGGCCACGGAGAAGTCGTGCGTTCACTGGTGGCTAGGACCCAGAGTAAACCCTAAACCCTAAACCCTAAACCCTAAACCCTAGGCCCCTTCTTTCCTTCTTTCTAGGGGTTTAGGTTGCCTTATGAGGCCCTTGCTTCCTTGTTCTAGGTGTGTAGGCTCCCTTAAAAAAAACTTGTAAACCCAAAAAGATGCCCTTTTTTGTTTCTAGGCTGCTCCTGGGTCTAGGTGGAGGCAGGCACCGACACGAACTTAGCCGACGGAGCTCTCCGCACGGCTCTGATGATCGCGGCCGCCCGCGGCCGCGCTGAGGTCGTGCGTTTGCTGTTTCTTGGGGGCCGAAGGAACCCTAAGATTGGGGCCATGTAACCCGAATTTTGCTGCGCAACAACTCCTACTACGAAGGTAACATTGAACAATAAACTCGGGGACCAAATGAACCCTAAAATCGGGGGCCGTCTACCCTGTACTCCTATGAAGGTAACATGAACCATAAACCCTTTTAGGGTTCATGTGAAACAGGGTATATCTTGCTGTTTTTGGTGAGTGTATGTAAGGTTCCTTTTAAATATTGGTGAGTGTATTTACCGGGTGTCCTTTTCGGGATGCAAGAAATATAAAAACCCTGCTTCATGTGGTCTCCAAGGTTGCAGGCCAACGCCAAGGTGGACTTGATCGACAAAGATGGCCGCACAGCTCTGATCCACGCAGCTTCCCGCGGGCACGTTCAGGTCGTGCATGCGCTGGTGGAGGGGGGGGCCCACACAGACTCTTGGTAGTAGAGTATGGCAACCTTTTAACCTTCTTTGGGGGGGGGGGTATTCTAAGCACTTTAGAATCCCCAAAGGATCATCTTTAATTCCCCCAGGTTGCTGGACAACCCTAAGGACTTGGCGGGCACGGATGGCCGCACAGCTCTGATGATTACAGCTGTCCGTGCCCATGTTGAAGTCGCGCGATTGCTGACGGAGGCCGGCGCCGACAAGAACTTGGTCGACAACGATGGCCGGACGGCTCTGATGCTCACAGCTTCCCGCGGCCATGTTGCTATTTCCCCTTTGGGAATTGCTTTTTCATTGTTGCTTATATGAAACCCAAGAGGAAACCCTAAACCCCGAACCCTAAACCCTAAACCCTAAACGAATATTAAGAGTACTAATTTTTATTCAGGTTCCAAGGGGGAGTAGAGGTTGGAGTCGTCCATTTGCTGGTGGAGGCCGGTGTCGATAAAGACTCGGTCGACAAAGATGGCAGGACAGCTCTGATGATCGCGGCCCTTCGGGGCCACGCCGAGGTCGTGCGAGTGCTCGCAGAGGGTAGCACCTTGGGGACCAAGTGAGCCTTAAAAGGGCTTATGGTTCATATTTCCTTAATAATAACCTAAACCCTAAACCCTAAACCCTAAAAACTACAGTCATATAGGGTGTATGATCCCAGTTTTGGGGGTCATATTTTTGGTTTCCGAGGCACTGAGAAGGACTTGGCTGACAAAGATGGCAGCACGGCCCTGATGATCGCCGCAACTCGGGGAGACGATTGGGTTGCGCGCTCCCTGATGGAAGCATGCGCCGACCCTTGGGGAGGAACTCTCAGCCCTTTAGAGGGTTTATGGGTTCATGTACCTGAATGGGAAGTATAGTGGCGTAGGGTATATGAACCCTAAACCCTAAACCCCAATTTTGGGGTTCAATTTGGTCCCCAAGGACAAGGACTTGGTCGACAAAGTTGGCCGCTCGGCTCTGATGCGCGCCGCTGCCCGTGGCCACGTTCCTTGGGGACGAATTCTGAACGCTAAAAGGGTTTACGGTCTCTGACATTGGGGTTTAGGGTTTAGGGTTTAGGGTTCAGGGTTTAGGGTCTAGGGTTTGAGGTTTAGGGTTCTTATGACCTTAATATGAATTTATAGTAGTAGAGGGTATATGACCCCAGTCTTAGGGGATCCTAAGCCCTAAGCCCTAAGCCCTAAACCCTAAACCCTAAACCCTAAGCCCTAAGCCCTAAACCCTAAACCCTAAACCCTAAACCCTAAACCCCAATGTCAGGGATCATCTCGTTCCCAAGGTCGAGGTCGTGCGCTCACTGGCAGAGGCCGGTGCCGACAAGGAAGTGGTAGGCAAAGATGGCTGCAAGGCTCTGACGCTCGCAGCTTCTTGGTGGCCCAGTGGTTTAGGGTTTAGGGTTTAGGGTTTAGGGCTTAGGGCTTAGGGCTTAGGGTTTAGGGTTTAGGGTTTAGGGTTTAGGGCTTAGGGCTTAGGGTTTAGGGTTTAGGGTTTAGGGTTTAGGGTTTAGGGTTTAGGGTTTGGGGAAACTCTAGGTAGCCCAGTGCTACCCATTTACCCTTTTGTTTTTTTTTTTGGCTTCTGATTTCCCTTATAAACATACCCAAGCCCAAAAAAAGGGTTCCCTTATTTTTTACGAAACCCTAAACCCCAAAAACCCCAAACCCCAAACCCTAAACCCTAAACCCTAAACCCTAAACCCTAAACCCTAAAATGGTTTCTGGGCTTTCTAGGCTTTCCATGGCCACGCTCATGTCGTTCACTGGCTGGTTGAGGCGGGTGCTGCGAACAAGGAGCCCTGGGGTCCCTAAAGGAGCCTTAAACGGGTTTGGGGCTCATATTGCCTTAATAATCCTAAACCCTAAACCCTAAACCCGAAACCCTAAACCCTAATATAGGGTATATGATCCCAGTTTTGGGGGTCATTTGGTCCCCAAGGATTTCATCGACCTAGTTGCCCGCATGTCTCTGATGATCCAGCTCTCCGTGGCCATGTTGAAGTCGTTCGCTGGCCGGCTCAAGATGGCTGCACAGGCTCGCTGGAGGTCGTGCGATCGCCGGAAAAAGAAAGACGGCCTCCAGAAACGCTCCTGAACCCTGAACCCTGAACCCTGAACCCTAAACCCTAAACCCTAAGCCCTAAACCCTAAACCCTAAGCCCTAACCTACAGCCTGGCCATCCCAAACCCCTGAAGCCCCTACATTCCTTAAGCCCCGAAAGCCCCTACAGCCCTGTAAAGCCCCCATACTGCCTTACTAGGGCTTATTAAGGCTTATTAAGGCTTACTAAGGCTTATTAAGGCTTATTAAGGCTTATTAAGACTCATTAAGGCTTATTCGGGCTTATAAAGGCTTATTAAGGCTTATTAAGGCTTATTAGGGCTTATTAAGACTCATTAAGGCTTATCAGGGCTTATAAAGGCTTATTAAGGCTCATTAAGGCTTATTAGGGCTTATTAAGGCTTATGAGGGCTTATTAAAGGCTTCTTTGGGATTATGAAGCCCTTCCTTGGGGTATATGGGGCCCTTACGCCCCCCCCTCCCTTCCACCTGCTAAACCTTAAACCCTAAACCCTAAACCCTAAACCCTAAACCCTAAACCCTAAACCCTAAACCCTAAACCCTCGAAACCCCTTCAAACCGCCAAAGTTCTGATTTTGAGAGTTCCAGGCGGCCTCTGGGGTATTGATCTCTGGGCTACTTCGCCCAACAAACCCTTGCCTTAGGGTTTAGGCTCTTCGGGTTTCGGGTTTCGGGTTTAGGGTTTAGGGTTTAGGGTTTAGGGTTTAGGGTTTAGGCAAAGTCCCCTTTCCACAGGTCTGGAGCTTGCGGGCCTTTCGGTTTAGGGCTTCGAGTTGTATGGTTCGTAGATAGGCGCTTTACGAAGTGTATTGCCATATGGGGGTTTCCGAGAATAGGGGTACCCTTTTTGGGGGTAGGGTAGGGGTACCCCTATTTTCGGAGATCCCCATATGGTTTTTTTAACGAAAATAAGGGACCCCCATAAAAAAACCCCCCCCACCCCCAATAGTAGGATTCCCTTCTGACTAAGGACCCCAACAGGGTAGCCCTAGTTTCGGAACCCCCCCCCCCCTATATGATGTAGGGTTGATATTTCTTGTACCCCCAAAAAGGACACCCAAGGTATACACTCAATATCAAAAAAAGAACCTTATATACACTCACCAAAAACAGTAATAGATAGGGTTTAGGGTTTAGGGTTTAGGGTTTAGGGTTTAGGGTTTAGGGTTTAGGGTTTAGGGTTTAGGGTTTAGGGTTATATCCGGGGTACCTCACTATAAAGGAATCCAGGGGCCGCATTTTTTGCGCAAACCCCATAAAGCAGGGGGTATATGATCCCGGCGTTCTAGGGTTGATTTAGTTTAGGGTTTAGGGTTTAGGGTTTAGGGTTTCGGGTTTCGGGTTTCGGGTTTCGGGTTTGGGGTATTTAGGGTTTAGGGTTTCGGGGGGATTGCAGGTAATTGTGTGGGATTCATGTGCAACCCTTTTCTACATCTTAGACCCCCAAGCCCTAAACCCTAAACCCTTACTTGGAAGCCCTTCTGACTCAGCAAGTAGGGTTAGTAAGGTGGGTTATGGAGGGGAGACTGAGTAGACCTGCTAGGTCAAAAGAGCTTCTACGTAACCCTAAACCCTAAACCCTAAACCCTAAACCCTAAACCCTAAACCCTAAACCCTAAACCCTAAACCCTAAACCCTAAACCCTAAACCCACTGCAGAAAGGTGCAACGGTCTGCGGCATCATTCTCGCGGTTCTCCCGGACCACCTCCACCGTCAAGTGATCAGCACCTTGGCTACTGGTTCACAGGGTTTAGGGTTTAGGGTTTAGGGGTTAGGGGTTTAGGGTATGGGTTGAGGGGTTTAGGGTTGAAGGTTGGGGGTTGAGCGTTTAGGCTGTTGGGTTTCGGGCTTCATGGTCCATATCCCCTAACAGGACTTGGAGCCCTAGAGTATCTAGGACCCGGAGTAGGCCCTTATTTCCTTTTGTTAGGGTTGGGGTTCCCCTATAATCCCCCAAAAACCAAAAAAGCCACCCTTTTCATTCCTAGGTTACTTCTGGGTCTACTTGGAGGTTCAGGGCACTTATTAACCAACTTCAACTGTACTTACATCTGTACCTATACCCTCCTTCAGAGCCCTAATACGGTTATCAGTACAATTCTGTACACTTATAATTCGTTAATAAGTACCCTGAACCTCCAAGTAGGTATGGGAGGTGCAGGCTGCTAATTTTGAGGTTCAGTTTTGCCCCCAAGCTGTCGCAAGGCGTGGGGCCTCGTCCCGGCGCGCTTGGGCGTAGGGTTTAGGGTTTAGGGGTTAGGGTTTAGGGTTTAGGGTTTAGGGTTTAGGGTTTAGGGTTTAGGGTTTAGGGTTTAGGGTTTAGGGTTTAGGGTTTAGGGTTGCGTTCGGCATCTGCTCTTTCTGGATGAGCTCATCTCCTTGCACTGTTTAGTGCCGAGGGTAAGGGACATGTATAACTCAGAAATATTCTGAAACATATCAGCATCACCAGCAATCATCAAACATTGCCATACAAAGCCTTGCGCGTAAGACAAACACAAATGAGGATTAACATGGTCTACTCTTTGTCATAGTTGGGTACCATTGTACATGCTTAAGGGTTTCTCAACCCAATAAGGAATATAAATTTTCATCTTTAGTATTATCACAACCATGAACTAGTACTTTGTTGGCAAAAAAATGGAAGGTTGCAACAAGCTCGAGCCTTCTTCCCTGCTTTCCAGGCGTCGGGTGATGAACCCCGCTTAAGCAAAAAGGCGACCTTCCTTGATTCCAAATCCTTGGTTACTTTGGATCGCCAAACCCTCGATATCCTGGAAAATTTTACCCTAAACCCTAAACCCTAAACCCTAAACCGTGACTCTCAAGATTCCTTAAGTTATGCGGGGTACCCCGACGTCGACTCACGGAGTCTTCCCCTACGCTTTGGGATGTTCGCTCTTATACTAGCACTTGGAGGTTCATGGTACTTACTTATAACTGTACTTATACCCCTATTAGGGTTTAACGTTTAGGGTTTAGGGTTTAGGGTTTAGGGTTTAGGGTTTAGGGTTTAGGGTAACTGTACTTATAACTGTACTTATAACCCTATTAGGGCACTTAAGGGGGCTTAAAACTGGGTGATAAGTACAGATATGATTGGTTAATAAGTACCATGAACCTCCAAGCAGTCCTTCGTAGGGATTGTAGTACCCCCGACTATAGTCAATAATCCCCATGAAGGACTGCTAGTATAAGGGGGACATATCCCAAACCCTAAACCCTAAAACCCTCTAAGCCTCCCTCACAAGTAGGAGGTGCATGCTTTGGAATTGCAAACCCCATAAACTCCGACTCCCGAAATCCGATAAACCCTGAACCCTAAGCCCTAACCCTTACTAATAATATCCCCTTATGGTCCCTTTAAATTAGACTATAAGAACCCCCCCCCCCCCCCCCCCCCCCCCCTTTTCTAACTATTCAGGCTCCTACATTACACCCCTCAATGCTGGGCCATTGTTGAAAATCATTCTACATTCTTATGAATACTTAAATCCAATAAGGAACAACAATGTTAATTTTAAATAGTACCCCAACAATGGTGCAGAATGCAGGCGGTGGAACGACCCAGTCGCTCGTCGCCGTGGCAACGGGCGAGCACATCCCGTTCAAGGTTGCGGCCAGGAGCTTGGCGCGGTTTAGGGTTTAGGGTTTAGGGTTTAGAGTTTAGGGTTTAGGGTTATAGGGTTTAGGATTATAGGGTTTAGGGTTTAGGGTTTAGGGCTCAGGGCTTCGGGTTCAGGATTTGGGGTTTGTGCGTTTTGGGGCTGAGGGCTGAGAGCGGTTTGCAGGTTTTTTCTATGCTCACGCGTGAGGGTTGATTCAGACGTTTAGATGGAGGTTGTAGGGCGCGGCCTCGGAAGAACCCTAAACCCTAAACCCTAAACCCTAAACCCTCAACCCTAAACCCTAAACCCTAAACCCTAAACCCTAAACCCTGAAACTAAAAGAACTTCATGGGGGTGGGTTTAGGGTTTAGGGATCAGGGCTTTCAGGCTTGGAGCCCTTGGAGTACCAGGAGTGCAGGGGCTTACAGGAGGGAATGCAGGGTGTTGAGGTTTTTATTGGCTTGTTTTGGGGTTTCGTCGCTTTTTCCCCAGAGAAAGACCCTATAGACCCCATGGGTACACCCCATACACCCTCTAGACCCTGTAGATCCTATAGACGCTATAGACGCTATAGACCCTAGACCTTAACCCTAGCATTTCGGGTTCTCGTGGCCATTTGGGGGCCGAATTCCCTAAACCCTAAACCCTCAACCCTAAACCCCAAACCCCAAACCCTAAACTGAAGGGGGGGGGGGGCATGTACTAGGACCCAGAGTACACCCTTTGTTTTTTGTTTTTTGAAGGGCTTAGGTTCCCTTACACGCCCCTTTAAATCAAAAAGGGCTCCAACCCCAAACCCTAAACCCTAAACCCTATACCCTAAACCCTAAACCCGAAGCCCTAAACCCTAAACCCTATACCTAGATGACTCGTGGGTCCAGTATATCCTACGGTTTTTGTTTGACAGTAGTTCGGCAGTCTGGGATTGGGGCTTTGCAATGTTTAGGGTTTAGGGTTTAGGGTTTTGGGTTTCTCTAAGGGTAGTTACATGGGCCCTTTATATGGTCCTTATTTTGCTTAAAGGGTTCTGAAGTATGGGCCCTTGGGTATATATAAGGTCTTTCAGGGGTCCCTTTCAGGGCCCAGACGACCATGTAACTACCCTAAGAGGTTTGGCTTTAGGTGGTTTAGGGTTCAGGGTTTATTAAGCTGAAAGGGCCCTCAGTCGTGAAGGACCTAGGCCACACAGGGTTTTTGGGTTTAGGGCTTTAGAGCTTCCAGGGGCAAACCTGGGACCCCATTTCTTAAGGATATTTGGATTTCTGGTGTGATGTTTGGGCATTCTAATTCCTAAGAAACATCTAAAAGTATGGTTCTTGCTAGCGTTCCAAGTTCAGTATAGATGTTTACCTACAGTTTCGTAGTACGTACCCCCTCTTTTGTACGTAGGTATGACCCTTAACACCTGTAGGTAAGCAGGGTCCCTAAACCCTAAACCCTAAACCCTAAACCCTAAACCCTAAACCCTAAACCCTAAACCCTAAACCCTAAACCCTAAACCCTAAACCCTAAACTGCGCAGCCACGTTTGGCTTCCGCCGGAAGAAGAGAGCCTGACTTGGTGGTGCCTTCGCTCGGTGCTCTTGGTAGCCCAGTGGTACCCTTTTTCCCTTTTTGTTGGTTCTAGCTTCCCTTCTAAATGAACGCCTCCCCCCCCCCCCCCCCCCCCCAAAAAAAAAGAGACCCTATAAACCCTAAACCCTAAACCCTAAACCCTACACCCCAAACCCTAAACCCTAAACCCTGGGTTTCTGGGCTACCAAGTGCTTCTCGCCATTCCAGGATGCTGCAAATACGCATGCTCTCGGGTGAGGTGATGGCCGTGCCAGTGGAGGAGGTGAGCAGTCCCGAAACCCCTGAACCTGAAATTCCCTTAAGCTCTAAAGTTTAGGGTTTAGGGTTTACGGTTTAGGGTCTAGGGTTTAGGGTTTAGGGTAAACCCTGAACTCTAACCCTAAACCCTAAACGCTCAACCCTTGCCATCCGAATCCTTGGCTCCAGGCGTCATTAAACTAGACCCAGGGTACCCCTAAACCCTAAACCCTAAACCCTAAACCCTATATAACCCCCCCCCCCCCTAAACCCTAAACCCCGAACAGGTGAGCAGCGTGAGGGACGTGAAGCAGCGCTTGCACCGCCTGCATGGCCTGCCTCCGCGCTTCAGGCAGAGGCTCCTCCTGCAGGGCGCCAGTTCCTTGGGGGCCAAAATAACCCTGAAATTTAGGGTTCAGGGTTTAGGGTTTAGGGTTTAGGGTTTCGGGTTTCGGGTTTAGGGTTTAGGGTTTACGGTCACAGTACCGTAGTAGGAAATTTTTTTGTATGGGGCAATTTTAGGGTTTAGTTTTGGTCCCCAAGGTGTCAGTGAGCCCAAACAGGAGAGTTTGTATGGGGGTTTCCGAAATTAGGGGTACCTTTTTGGAGTCCTTTTCTACAAGATCGTACTATTTGGGGGGTTTATATTCGGGGTCCCTTAGTATCGCAAAAAATCTCCCCAGCCTCTCTTGGTTTGGCACTCCCGGGACACTCTGGGGTTGGGTTTGGTTTGGGCAGTCCAAGGGGGAGTGGGTCCAGGGACACTCCAGGGACATTTTGGGGTTGGTCATTTTAGGGACAGTCTGGGATTGGGCACTCTAGGCAGGCTCGGGCACTCCACGGACACTCTGGGGTTGGGCACCCTGGTTTTGGGCGAGGAATAGACCGGGCGAGGAGAAGTAGACCGGGCGAGGAGACGAGTTGAGTTTAAATTCTAACAAACTCACAGCGAGGGTGACGAAAAACCATACTGGTTCATAGAAGACCTGCATAGGGATCATGGTAGTACAGGGGTTTATCGGCTCAGAGTATGATAGAGTATGTGAAATATAGTAAGTTTAAGCGGCTTTTTCCCGTATGATTATAAACAATATATTGTACGCAAAAGACCCAATAAAATAGAATACTTGTGGGGTGTTTTGCCTTGTTATTCCATTATCTGTACGTAGTAAAACCATTGGATAGAAGTGCATTGATTTTCTAGCCCGTACACATCACTTTGGAAATCTAAACACTTAGAAGTTACATCAGATTCACTTGGTTTTCTAGTTAATCGTTCTTGGCTATTATTCTTTCTTCGTATTATAGTTCTATTTTTCCTTTCAGTCTTTAATGTTTCTTGCTGGCATGGAATTCACTTCATAGATTTTTTTCTTGCCTTCTATCATCCTTTATTTGGAATACTTCATACTTTTCATATTCGGTCTAGAGATTTTGTTACGATTATTCAGGGAAGTCTTTGTGTTTTTTCGCAGTTTGAGGGTTCATGTGGTCCCCAAGGTCTGGATGATGCCACCAAGCCTGATCCGGCCTGGGAGTTGGAACTTGTTGTACTTCCTTGTTGCGGGCCTTTGCCGTCACAGGTGGCCGAGCTCATCGACGTCGCCAGAAGTGGCTCCGTGCAAGAGGCGAAGGTTTGCAAGACGACAGACAGTGCAACTCTGAACGGTGCTAGGGTTGAGGTTCGAGGGTTCAGGAGAACCCTAGCGATCAGCCTCACCCCAGTACGCTTACAAGCATGGGGGAACTTGCAGGTCACCCTAAACCCTAAACCCTAAACCCTAAACCCTAAACCCTAAACCCTAAACCCTAAACCCTAAACCCTAAACCCTGTTAGGTCGAGTCCATGCTGCAGCTGCCCCTGGATCCAAATGTGGCCATGCTGGGGACTGGTGAGAGGCCGCTTTCCAGGGCCTCCCGGCGTGGCCATGTTGAGCCTTGGGCTTAGGGTTTAGGGTTTAGGGTTTAGGGTTTAGGGTTTAGGGTGTAGTGTGTAGGGTTTAGGGTTTAGGGTTTAGGGTTTAGGGGTCATATACCCTCTACTACGATAATTCCTGTTGACTCAAAATCTGAACCAGACGCCCCCATTCGGGTTCATATCCTGGTTTCCGAAAAATATGGGTACCTTATGGAGGTCCTTATTATAAGGGAACCATACTATTTGGGGGACCCTAAACCCTAAACCCTGGACCCTGAACCCTAAACCCTAAACCCCTAAACACCTAAACACCTAAACCCTAAACCCTAAACCCTAAACCCTAAACCCTAAACCCTAAACCCTAAGCCCTAAAGATGGCTTTTCAAGGAAGTCGCGCGTTTGCTGTTGGAGGCTGGGGCCGAAACCGACTTGGTGGAAAACCATGGCCGCACGGCCCTGATGATGGCAGCTCAACATGCCCATGTTGAACCTTGGGGACCACCTAAACCCTAAACCCTAAACCCTAAACCCTAAACCCTAAACCCTAAACCCTAAACCCTAAACCCTAAACCCTAAACCCTAAACCCTAAACCCTAAACCCTAAACCCTAAACCCTAACCCTAAACCCTAAACCCTAAACCCTAAACCCTAAACCCTAAACCCTAAACCCTAAACCCTAAACCCTAAACCCTAAACCCTAAACCCTAAACCCTAAACCCTAAACCTAAACCCCTAAACCCCTAAACCCTAAACCCTCAACCCTCAACCCTAAACCCTAAACCCTAAACCCTAAACCCTAAACCCTAAACCCTAAACCCTAAACCCTAACCCTGAACCCAGAACCCTGAAAGGGTTTATGGTTCAGGAAATAAGTTGTATAGGGAAGCCCTTGTGACTTAGTAAGTAGGGTTCGTAAGGTGGGTTTCCGCGGATTACAAGAGGGTTTCTAGGAAATACTAACTAGACATACTAAGCCACACGAGCGTCTAAGTACAGGGAACCCTAAACCTAAACCCTAAACCCTAAACCCTAAACCCTAAACCCTAAACCCTAAACCCTAAACCCTAAACCCTACACCCCGATGTTTGGGGTGCCCAAGGACGCTGTGGACTTGCTTGTGCAAGCCGGCGCTGACAAGGACTTGGCCGGCCACAATGGCTGGACAGCTCTGATCCTTGGGGACTAAATGAACCCTAATGTGGTCTCCTGAGTAGTGTGGGCCCCCCCCCCCCCCCCCCCCCAAACTAAATCCACCCCCGCAATAGTGTCACAAAAAAAAGGGACCCCCCCCAAACTAATTTTCGGCCCCGGGCCCCCCCCACCGGCTCCTCTTCATTTCCTCTTCATTTCCTCTTCCTCTCCTCTTCCTCTCCTCTTCCTCTTCCTCTCCTCTTCCTCTCCTCTTCCTCTCCTCTTCCTCTTAGGTCATGTTGTCTGCATATGAATTTAAAGGGGATCCATCTATCCCAACCAAGCCAGCCCGAAAAAAAACAAAAATCCGGGGGAGCAAACGTTTTTTATTATAGGGCATTCGGGCAGCTGCTGGACTACCCCCTTTGAAATTTGATTGCCCGGCCTCGGTACAAATCATTTTATAAGGAAATCTTAGCTTTGGGGCTGGCCTGGAGGCTTAAGATTTCAGGGCCCGACAACCTCAGGCCTCAAGGTTTAGGAAGCCTCAGCCCTTAGGCCTCTTGATCCAAACCCAACTAGCCCACAAAAAAAATATAATTCCGGGGGAGCAAAGGTTTTATATAATACGGCATTCGGGCAGCTGCTGGACTGCCCCCTTTGAAATTTGATTGCCCGGCCTCGGTACGAAAGCATTCTATAAGGAAATCTTAGTTTTGGGGTTGGCCTGGAGAATGAAGATTTCAGGGCCCGACAACCTCAGGCCTCAAGGTTTAGCTCAGGTAAGCTCAGATGAGCTCAGCTCAGATACGTTTTTGTCTCCCTCTTCCGAAACCCATGCCCGAAAAAACTGTTCATTATTGTAGTGGGGCAACCAAATTTTTGTCCCCTGAATCATTTTTTGACAACTTTTCATTATTGGAGGGGTCCACACTAATCAGGATACGACATTAAAAGGGTTTGTGGTTCATATACCCTAATAGAAATGATAGATTGAACCCGAACCCCTAAACCCTAAACCCTAAACCCTAAACCCTAAACCCTAAACCCTAAACCCTAAACCCTAAACCCTAAACCCTAAACCCCCAATTTTAGGGTTCCTTTCGCCCCCAAAGGATGGTCGCGGCTGCGCACGGCCACGCTGAGGTCGTGCGGCTGCTTGCGGAGGCGGGCGCCGGCAAGGACCTGGTGGACGACCTTGGGCGCACAGCCCCCTTGCTTGGCCGATAGAGATGGACTTTAAGCTATTTTGGGGTTTCCCCAAGCCCTAAACCCTAAACCCTAAACCCTGAACCCTAAACCCTAAACCCTATAATAGGAGTAATTCAAGTTTAACCCTTTCTTTCCGACTTTTTTTTCCCCCCTTGGTTGTTTCCAGAAGTAAGGCCCTGATGATCGCAGCCAAGAGAGGTCATGCTGGGGTCGTCCGCTTGCTGCTGGCGGAAGGAGCCGACAAGAACCTTGTGCACCAAGGGTTTAGGGTTTAGGCTTTAGGGTTTAGGGTTTAGGGTTTAGGGTTTACGGGTCAGATACCCTCTACTACTAGAACTCCTATGAAGGCAACATGAACCCTAAACCCTTTTAGGGCTCAATATGTTGTCCCCAAGGAACAAGGCCCAAAAGAATGGCTGGACGGCCCTGATGGTTGCCGCTGACGTGAAGGTCATGCGTTTGCTGTTGGAGGCCGGCCTCGACAAAGACGTGGCCGACAACCACGGTTTCACGGCCCTGATGAGCGCAGCCACGCGCGGCCACGTTGAGTTCGCGCACTTGCTGGTGGAGGCCGGCGCCGACAAGGACTTGGCTGGCCACAGTGGCCGCACGTCTCTGATGCTTGCATCTCAGGCGGGGCACCTTGAAGTCGTGCGTTTGCTTGTGGAGGCCGGCGCCGACAAGGATTTGGCTGACCACGCTGACCTCACAGCCCTGTTGTTGGCAGCTGCTACTGGCCGTGTTGAGATCGCGCAGTTGCTGGTAGAGGCCGGCGCCGACAAGGACCTGGTTGACAGAGATGGCTGCACAGCACTCATGATGGCAGCTTTACATGGCCATGCTGATGTCGTGCGTTTGCTGGTGGCGGCCGGGGCTGACAAGGACTTTACCAGCCTCGACGGCCACACAGCCCTGATGATCGCTGAGCGCGAGGGACATGTGGAGGTCGTGGAATTGCTGAGCGTTGAAGGGCGCCAAGAAACCCCAAAAACTAGTTCTCTACATTTCGGTCCCTTTTGGGTAATTTTACTGTTTTGATAGGGGTGCCGTATCATACCGGGCACGAAAAAGAACCTAATTTAGAGAACTGCCCCCATGCCAATACCACGAGACTAGACCGTCAACGGGCATGATGTTTGCCTTTTGAAGCTCAGTTGGTCATTTTCCGATGGACTGTAAACGTTGCTAACCTAAGCCCGAATCCCTAAACACCCGAAAGCCCACAACCCGTAAACCCTGAAACCCCATATTTTCCCAGCCATATTCCGACCGTAAATGCGAAAACCCTGCAAACCCTGGACCTTAAACCGGGGTTTGGAGCAGACAGGGCTCACAGGGTATAGCAGCGCAAGTTTGAAGATTGGGGGGGGGGGGGGGGGGGGGGGGGGGTGGGAACTAGACAGACTACATACACCCTTATCCTGAAACTTCGTGTGCGGAAGGGTGCCAGAGGTTTTGGTGTCTGGGATTAATAGGAGGTACAAGCAAGGCAATATGTTTCGTGTTCAGAGTAAGTTCAGGGCCTTAATCTCCAGGCCTTAAACCAAAAACACAAAACCTTCAACCCCAAATGCCTTGATGTCTTGTTGTTAGGTGACATTCGGCCTTCCCGACCCTCTTATGCCTCGCAACGACACAGCCGAAGATTTGCATTCGTTCATCGACTATATTTCAGTATGGTACACGGGGGCTGTTTGTGTGTACACACACACACACGTAGATAGAGCGATAGATAGATAGATCGATGGAGCGATAGATAGAAAGAGAGAGCGAGAGATAGATTTATGTGTGTGTAGATACATCATATGTGTATATTTATATACGTATATGTATATGTATATATATATATACATATATATATATACATATACCTAGAAACCCGGGCGGCCGAAATATCAGCCGGAATGCAAACCGGCAGAAATTCCAGCCTCACGCTAACAAAGACGCCGACAATGGGGAAAGTAGCCGACCAAAAACCAAAGTAGCCGCAACAGGTTTTCTGGAACAGCTGTTTAGTAGATTTATCCACAGAAATAAGATGCTATGGTTCCGAATGTTGTGAACCGCCTAGGGGGCCACTTAGTTTGCAATAGCTTGCGGAGTTCGGGCCATGCCTTAACATTCAGGGGTCCTTTAACCTTGAACCAAACACCTTTGTTGGACTTTCATTGCCTACATCTTTCAATCAGGGTAGTAGTCGGTTCAGGATTACACCGGGTTCAAATCTGTAGCACTGGCTCTGCAAGTTCTGGACAAGGACAATCCAAACCCTAAACTTCGAAGAGCTCTAAACTTCCCTAAGCCCTAAGCTTCCCTAAACCCTAAAGCTCCCTCAGCCCTAAACCCTAAAACCCTAAACCCTAAACCCTAAACCCCAAACCCTAAACCCTACGGGCTCAGGGTTCATAAAGGGATGCCTCAGCACTTAGGGCTTCAGGAAGGTTCAGGGATTGGAGCGGCTGTCCCTTTTCCATGGCCGCCTGCTGCTCTGCCTGGTCTAGCGCAGCACCCTGGAGCAAAGCTTCTGGGCTCTAGGGCTTTCCATCATGTTGCAGGTTTGGTGTTCTTCTGAGTGGTCCATCATCCTTTTCTGGCAACTGTAAAGCTATGGGGCTCGAGACTTCAGGGTTCAGTTAGAAAGCCTTAGCATAGCCTACGCAAGAACATAGTCTACAAAAGCATGAGAGCGGTATCAATAACTATAGCCTGGGGGTTGCTGAAAGAAAACCACGGCTCAAGATGTGCAAGGAAGGCCACAGGCCCGGCGCTCGTTCTTGTGACGGCGAATCACAGCACATTTCTTCAGGAAATGTCGCTGAAGCACTCTGCGGTTGATAGTTCGTACCGATACTTTCAACGTGAGGGAACAGACTTTCCCGATCGTGTCTTCGTTTTGATCGCAAGCCCATGTGGCGGGATTTAAGATCAAGGGCCCTGGTCCATGCAATGCCTCCTTGAGGTCGTATGCTAGATGGTGTAGCCCGTGGAATTTGGGCTTGAGGCAGAAAAATGACATGCGCATAGCGAGGCTTCGGGCCGCAAGGGCTTGGTATCCGGCAAGCAACTTCATGAGGTGGAGGTACAAACTCTGCGCACAGACACGATCCAGCCAGAGTCCATGCGAGTATATGATGTGGAGGGCA